ACCATAATCCAAGACCCCGATGGTTAAGATAGCTTAGGCATTCTTCAAGATGATTAAGAGCGATGTGGATTTTTAAAGTTTTCGAAATTCCAGTGGCTTTAAAGGTTTTTCTTAAATGGACAATGTTCTTCTTGAGTTCCTGACCACCGCGACTAGAAAAACAATCTTCAACAACTTTGTTCATTGCCTTTAATGCTGATATTATTGGAACAATTTGTAAAGGGCCAACTTTTTCACGAATGACCTTAATATCGAGAATACAATCAGAATTCTTTAAAAGCTTTCGGCATGCATTTTCTTCAAAAATTTCACCCTGATAGTTTTTTGATATAAGTCCTAGTTTTTTTTGGCCAATTAAGGGCTTCTTCTCTTCCCACGAGTGGTACTAGCCCATCCCAAAATAGGTGATTTACAAAGCCTTGCAAAATGTGCAATTCTGGTATAATACATTTTTGAATAATAAAGGTCTTACCTTCTTCCTCAAACATAGGTACATTTACGGTGCTAAAACATTCTTTAGTGACTTTTTTATTTTTGCCTAGAGAATAAAATTTATCGAAATGCTTGGTAACGCCTCCATAAGTTCTTAAACACATCGTTTGAGCTTCATAGGTGGGATCTTCAACATTTGTGGGTTTATCTTGAAACCTTAGTTCGTGTAGTGGTACATAGCAATAAGGACACGGGTACGTTGCAGTTGCTGTCTGAAATCCATTGACGAGGAGGGTCACCTTTAGGTCCGAAACAAACTTGAAGGAAATTTTGTTTATTTGTGTAAGATCAAATAGAAATTTAATATTGTCGTAACTTTCTTTTATTTGAGGGACCATGTATACAATTATTAATCTTTGTAGTCCACTTAGTTTACCTCTTTTTCCTGCTCTTCCTCCTTCTGCATATGTAGATCGTTTACCTTGATCCATTGCATTTATTTCGTCTTCTACTATTTCTTGGTTTCCAGCTAAACCTTTATTTAACACAGAGGAGTAATTTTCCGGTAAAATCGTCAAACAAATTTTAAAAAAACCTTGCCCTCCATCAGCCATAAGTTTAATTTCAGGTTTTCCAATATAGTTCCTTTTTTCAATAACAGCCTTAACCAGTTCTTCAGCATCTGCCCACACTATAGCCCGATTTTGTTCTTCCCTCTTTTCATTGGTCTCAAATTCGTATAAACCCTGTTTATAAAAACTGCTTAAAATTTTTGAATTTTTACTTGCATGAAGACGATATTTAGCCGGAACTGCATTTTTTCCTGCGCATGACCTAATAAAGTTTGTTAAGGTTTCCATTTGGTTTAAAGAAGAACTTGTGTTTGATTGGAAATTGTCTAAATTATTTTCGGAAAAAAATGGGTCTTTAGCCATTTTCGGATTAATAACAATCCTAGCAATTAAACCGCATGTGGATAATTTTATTTCTGCGTTTTGGTACCTGCTGCTGCTTGTAGATGTTCCACAATTGGCTGCTTGATCATCAATGCAGGATTTCAACGAAGACACTACAACATGCTCCTTTTGTTTTTTTGGGAGTTTTTCTACAATGTCCTTAACATTTCGATGAGCATACGTTTTAGAACATTTTTGCCTAATTCCTTTTCCGGTTTTTTGAAAGCAAATTTGACATATTGGCTCGGATTTTTGCTTTTGATTTGTTACCTCTTGGCCCATGGTTCCTACTTTTACTACTAAAGAACTTTTGTGGCCTTTATGTTTAGCCGTTTGACACAGAAAACAATAGCATATTCGGGTGGTGTTTCTAGTTTTAGCATGCAAGACTATTTTGTCAAATTGAGGAGTCACGGGGAAATTTCTCTTGAACACATCTTTTTCTCTATCAAAGAGAACAAGGCGACAATTTCCACAAATAGACGTGGGATATCTTGAGTCGCTTTTATCAAATTTATATTTACAAATAAGCTTGTGCAATTTTTCTGTCGAATATTCAAGATGTCATTTTGACACTAGCCTACTTTATTGTATTGTCACTTTCCACCTTTTTTACAGTTATTCTTAACCAGTGACAAAAAATGCCAACATATTGTTTTTCGATCAGCTTTGATTTAACCAACACTAGTTTTGGTTCCGCCAGATAGTCCATAAAAGGAATATATAAAGGGGTTTCGTTGACATTTTTGAAATACCTATTTTTTGCTAAGGGAGACTGTGCCTATTTGCTAATTTTATCACGTATTATAAATTAATAAAAAAACAAACTTGAGTTGGAAAATTCCGAGAATTTCGTTTGAATAAGTAGATGCAATTAAATATGCAAATAATAAAAATATGTGCCGCCAGTGTGGCGCCACAAACTTATTTACCTAATTAAATATGCAAATAATAAAAATATGTGCCACCAGTGTGGCGTCAGTCTTCATGAGTCATATTTTTACATTTTGCAATATTGCACAATATTTAATTATATTTTATTTTTTTGTTCGACACTAGCAGGGGCGGTGGGGCTGTGGGGGTGGCGGAAGCCGTATTTGCAATTTTAACACATCATTTTTGACACCTGTCATTTTTGATACTTATATATTTCGTTAATTTCCGATCAATTCCGAACGTTTCCGAATTCTTCCGGTAGCTCAAATGTTGTCAATGTCATAGAATGATATAATAAATACCACTGCTAACAATAATAAAAAACACATTCGAGAATTATGAATAAATAAATGTATTTATAGCATTTTTGCATTTAAACGAATTCTTAAGTCACGTAATGTGATAACTTTAATACAGGTTATGCAAAACATATTTTGCATTTTAATTAAGGGGAATTCAAAGATAAGGAATTTTTAACACCTGTCATTTTTGACACCTGTCATTTTTGACACCTGTCATTTTTGACACCTGTCATTTTTGACACCTGTCATTTTTGACACCTGTCATTTTCAAGGTCATGCCAAGGTCACGTCAAGGTATTGGACACCTGTCATTTTTGATCAATTCCGAACGTTTCTGAACCCCGCAATTACATCTCACCACTGTGAATATATTAATTACAATTACAATTTTTAGGTTAATTTTGTGCGCCCCCGTAATATTTGGTACGAGCTTAATTTGTACGCTCCTGTAATATACGTATAGTTCCAGCAGGTGCCGTCACATGCGGAAAAAATTCGAAGTATCGTGCAAGGTTGCGGCCGCCCAATGGGGCCTCTAGGGAAGTGCGTCTCAGCGTGTGAGAAAAACAACGCCAGGGTGGCGCCAGAATAAATTAAAATTTCGAAATATTGTGCAAGGCGTGCAAGTGGCGCCACCACGAGTCATAATTTTGCATTTCCCAGTATTACTTTTACAATTGGTTGGCGGCCATTTTGAATTCAACAAGCCCCGCCCATCATTATTTCTGCAATTGGTTGGCGGCCGGCGGCCATTTTGAATTTCCCGCCCATCGTGTAACGCCAACGAGTGCACAGCCCAGCATGTGGCGCCACCATGCGGCCGAAATGTGAATATTGAGCCAGAAGCCCCATAGCTATTCTACTATTGACATACTCTCATTTATACTAAGCTAATGTTTTTTTATTTATGTTAGAATATAAACTAGTGTAAATATATTATTCGGAGAAGCAGGTCTTTTTGTGCTGAGCGAAGCACAAAAAGATTAAATTTTTCTTCTAATGACTTAATACATGTACAAAATAAAGAATTTATCAATAATAATAAATATTATTATTTTAGTAAATATAATGTGTGTTAAAGCATGTCCAATTGATGTTCCTTATTATTTTTTTCTGCTCTAGGGGGCTAACATTATAATAGCTAAAAATCTACTAAAAGCTACTAACGGGTGATTCAAATTGAGTTTCCACACGTATTCTACAATTATGTGTGTAATTTGGCATGCGTTTTTCTTTAATTACGCCTTAAGACCATAAGCCACACTAAACACTCACTTTCTGAGGATACATTTTGTTTTCAACAAACTCTTTTGGATTTTTCAAGACCAAAATGTGGCAATTTTGCTTGTTAACAAATCCATCGAGGTGAAAATGAGCCTCATCTGTAAGGTGCCTTAATTATCAGCCATTCGTCAAATAGACGGCGTTGCTCGTGGTCCCTGGGCTTTAACTCTTGTGTACTTTGGATCTAGTAAGGCTGAATATGGATGTCTTGTTTCAAAATCCGCTATAAGGTAGAGCACGACAGCCCCAATTACTGAGATCCACGACGGATTGACGTTCTTGGTTGTTCTTTATCATTTAATGTTAAAGAACAACCAAGAACGTAAATCCGTCGTCGAGGGCAATGTTCTTGTCTGAAGGACAATATTCCACTCAAAAGGTAAATTTTCTAAGCCAAAATATTCGCGTAGAGAACGATAGGCATTCCTTCTGGAACGTCCATTTTCGTAATAGGCTTGGACGATTTTTACCCGTTGTTCAGTCGTATATTGCTCCAGAAGTTTTGTATACTTTTCTACTTTGTAAATATTGCTTTAACATTTAAAAATACTTTAAAGTAAAAAAATACAGAGCCTTCTCATGTGGAAACTTAATTTAAATCACCCGTTATTATTATAAGGTTGACACCTGCCAAGTTACTATATTTTGTACACTTTTCTAATTTACAAATGGATAGCATTTATCGAAAAGGAACCAAGCGCCAAAAACTTTTTCACGGGTAAACAAAATTATTTGCAAAATAACTCATTTTTAATGCTGCTCAAAAAATTAATAAATTTGGGAACCCTCTCAATACTTTTGAGAAAAGTTCGATAAACCATTTGAGCATTAAGCCCAGAAAAACTTTTTGGCACTTGGTAAAAATAAGGCCACCTTAATGTCTATATATTAAATTTAATGTTAAAAAAGTACATTTTGAGTCAATTACACATTAAAGTTGAAACTTCAATGTATTATTGACTCAAAATATAAAACTACTTTTTAAGCGCTAAACGGGCAAAAAAGTTTCAAATGCCATGTGTATTATTAAATTTATTAAATTAAAGCTCATATATCAATCTATCCAAGAATGCCTATTTATATTACTTACCCAGGTAAACCTCCGCTTTCCATGCAGTTAGCCAAAGTAACATCATTAGACCAAACATCAAACTGCCATTTTCTAAGGCCTAATACACCACAATGAACACGGCCAGTATGAATTCCTACTCTCATATTTACATTTACATTCATAACTTCTCTGACAAGCCTATAACATTAAAATAATAAAATATACCTAGCAAAAATCATTTATTTTAATAATTAAATTTTTCCTAATAATTAATTATTAAACCTTTAGGATATTATGTTAGATTTAATAGGAAAAGGGAAAATATAAATGCCAAATCTTGATTTAAATACAAGCTGAAAAGCTGCTTTATTGAACAGTTTAACATAGAGTGTAATTTAAGTAACTAACTACTTTAAACCTTTGACAGTATCGAGATTTTGTTATATGCTTAATCGCAGTTTTGCCTAATATAAACATACATCAGAAAAGTAAAGTGATATATTTTTTTTGTAATACAGGGTGTATATCTAATAATTTTACTCAAACAAAAATTACATTAGTAGTTTTATATTAATAGATTGCTTGCAATATGCAATATCGTCAATAGTAGAACCAAACACATCTGGTTGGACAATAAATAACGGTATTTTAATGTATGCTTTAGCAAACGGTAAACGAGCTTGTTTTCCGTAAATACAAGTTTCATAAATATCCTGTGTAGGATATTTATAATATTATTTAAATTCTTTTTATCGTCTAAAAAATTAATGTTTTTTTATTTAAAAAAATGTTGTTTACTTATGTGACCTAAACGTGCACACCAAAGAAAATAATTATTAAAGTCTCTTCAGGTAGAATATTAGCCTGTCTCTTGGGGCTACCTTGTTTAATTTCATCGTTACCATTTGTATACTAACAGAACCAGTTTTTTTAATAATGGTCATAACAGCTTCCTGACTACGACGTACTAAGAGTAAGTTGTAAGGGAATCCTGCTGCATACAGGACGTTCTCGAGAATTTCGGTCACTTCTTGGTTCCTTTTTGGGTTGCTGATGGAGACAAATTTTGCAGTAAATATTTTTAAATGACTATCGAACTGGTTGTAAGTTGTAAAAAGCTTGATTTACCATATGATCCGTAGCTCCAGAGTCTAATATAAATGTTACTTCGTTTTCGGAATCGTTTATTTGTACCATAAATGTACCACTATTTGGTTTAGTTTGAATTGTTTGCAGGCTTCGTTGACGACTTGGTTTCTCTTGTTTCTTTAACTTATAATAAAAACAGTCTTTTATTTTGTGGTTTTTGCATCCAAAATAATTCATTTAATCATTGAATGAAGTTGTCCGGTTGGTTTAGTATGTTCTTAATGATTGAAATAATGCCTTCTTGGCCGATTGAAAATTTGTATTTGGAATTTTATACATATTTATTTCTTCTTAAAAATGAGAAATTCATTAATTGGTTAGTTTCTGCATGTAACACTTTGCCACTTGTGTCACTACGCTGTTTTTCTAACAGCTTGTCACCTTTAAACTTCAAACTTAATAAATTCCTGTAAACTGCTAATTGTGCTGCGAAGCTTTTTCCCTTGTATCATCAAGGTATTCTATAATGGTACTTTTTGCTAACCGATCGAGTTTTTCCAATTTTTTTCTAGGAACTTCTAGAGCAAAATCATCAAGTAGGTATATAAAACTCACATATACATATACATGCTAGCAAGAAACTTTTACCGAACTATTGTTCTGGGCTTCATAACCTATTAAATTTAATAGTTTATATTTTCCATAAAAAAATCGATTACTATACATTGATATTTTAAATTAGACATAAAACAATTAAAATATCAAGATTTATTTGAACCTTAGAAAATAATTTCTCCAATAAAAGTCATCTTTTAAATTGAAAATCGGTTGATATAATTTATATCAGTCGTTAACGACTGATTTAAAATATGAATAAAAATAGACAGTATTTTCGCTTGTAATTATATATGAAAAAATAAATTCAGAAGGTAAACATACCTATAACAAAGATATAATTAAAAAATAACCTTTTTTAAAGATAAAATTACTACCATGTTAATAATATCAAACATCTTTGCTATTTTTTTGTCTGATTGAAAATCAGAATACTTGAATTTAATTGATTTATAACTTTCTTTAGTTCTATGACAGAACATACCTAAGCTCACTACAAAGAAGGTAACTGTAAAGAAAATTTTTATACCGTTGAGTTGCACGCCCTGGATAAAATATTGGCGCAACATTTAAAAAGAACACAAAAAAATAAAATAAGTAAAAATACGTATTAATAGGTAACAAATAGGTGAAAATAAACTGACAAATTAAAAAATATGTAACAAAAGTATAAAAAGGATGTTTAAAGCAAAAACCTCCAAAAAAGGTAAAAAAAAGGTGAAAACAAGTTAAAAAAATAGGTAACAAAAGTATAAAAAGGTGCAAAAACCTCCAAAAAAGTTAGAAAAGGTGAAAACAAGTTAGGTTCATACAAAGAAAATCTTTTAAAACACAGTTTGGCATTATTGGGTTTTAAATAGTTACATCGGTTGAAAAAAGGTAAAATAACTAAAATCCCATCCCTAATAATAAGATTATAAAATAAAACCAAAATTGTGTTTAAAAAATATTTTTCTTATTTTTTTAATATTTTTGAAGAATTTTAAATTTTAGACCATATTTAACTTAATTTCTGCTTTTAAATTTTTAAATTATGTGCTTGCTCTTAGAAATAGAAACAGTAGGTTTTGGGTAAAGGGCTCTATAGAGGGGATTATTTTTTGAGAGGAAATTTACACTCTATTTATTTTTGGGCCCAGAAATATACTATTAAACATAGAAGAAAATAAAATGGAGGGACAAAAGGGCAACATGGTTATTTCAAATTGAATATACATATTATAATATTATTAACAATTTTTGCCAATAATAAATACAATGTTAAAAGGCATTATATAGGAAAATAAAAAATACACCCTGTAGGTAAAAGCAAATGTTTTGGCTAGAAAACAAATACAGGCAGTGTATGAAACTATGTTTTTATATTTTTGGTTCAAATTGTTTTTATTATTTGTAAAATTTATTTAAAAAATTTGCTCTGATACAATATTTTTATTTTTAAAATAAAATACACAGGGCAACAAAATCTGGACTAGAACTACAACAATTAAATTTTAAAATTTGTTTTATAAAAGTAACAGTTTTTAAAATTTGTGTACCTATATTTTTTAATATAAATTATTTAAAAAACAAAGTGTATAATAGGGTGGATCAAAAATTAATTTAAAAGTACCTGCCATCGAAAAAATTCTTTGCACAGTGGCGCCACCTACATCTTGCATTATTCAAACACATTTTTTACACAGTTGTGAAGCCAATCATAGAGGCTAAAAACTGGCATTTACAGAAATTAAATGTCACTTTTAGTTTTCGAAATAATTGGCCTGGGAGTTTTTATTGAAATACCCTGTATAACAGAAAGTTGCATTTGGGTCTTTTGAGTAAACCTCTAAAATTTGAGGTCACAGAAATAAGGTCTTGAGGTTCCTATATTTAAAAAAAAATTAATGTTTTTTTATTTTTCCTATAGGTATAAAAAAAGGTTTCATTTAATTACCAACAACAATTCATTAAAATTTGATTCTCCTAAAATAGGTTTTTTAAGATTCTATTTTGAATGAAAATAAAAATAAATCAGAAATTTCCAACCTTAAAAATTAGTACCTAAAATAAAGTTCATTGTCCAAGAGTTTTAACAAAATCTTGCTTTGTTTCAAACTGCAGTAAACTTTGTCGAGATGTGATTTTTGCATGTATAAATCCATCTCTTGATTCTCGTCCGCAGACTAAAGCCGAAGCTTCTGTCACCATCTTTCAACTGCTTGTGTATGGGAGGGATATTTTGTTATGTCGATTGTCTCAGATACATCCAAAATCATCATTTGCAATGTCTCATTTGATATTTGTCTTGTTAGTGGTGGTTCACTTATAGTGATTGTTTTCCAGTCTATCAAGTCGATATAGTCTGCGGCATTGAAGTTTAAATTGGGTACTTGAAATTGTCGAATTCCGTGACTGTTATTTTGGGATCTGCACTTCAATATATGCCTCAAACCCAATTTTCGAACATACTTTCGGTTATCAGCTAGCATAGCTAATACAATATTTTCGGGATGACAAAAATAAGCATTGCGTTTAATAACTGGGTCTATTATTGCCTTTAGTTCATTAGGTAAGTAACGTGATTCTTTAATCATAGTCAAAATGTGTTTTGGACCGTCCTTACACAGAGGTTTAGTTTTGATTTGGAACCAGCTAAATGCATAAACTCTAATATTATACTGAGTGAGAGCAAGTAACTCTGGAAGGCTCCTTAGTTGCTACATATAGTCTCAATATCCTATTTGCGGTGGTTAGCCATCTTGAATGCGCCATTTTTCCTGGTTGTCGTTGAGACAAGTCAAAAGGGATATTCTCTTTAGAAATTGCTGAACACATTTCGTACAGATACTTCTGATCTGTACTTAAACTATTTAATGTAATGTAAGGCAGTTCTACATGTATCGCTTCAAAATCAACTACCGGCATATTTTCACATGTGTCTAAGGCTTTTCCAATAACACCAGAGAAGCCTCTTGGGTCATTTGTCCTACCATCAAGATGTTGTATTAAATGTCGTAAAGGTAATTCGTTACAATGCAATAAGCATATGAACCAATGAACCGGTTTACCTATAGCAGTCTCAATTTGTCTTATTACACCGTTATTCAGTCCCTTGTTAACCACAGTTCCATCATAACCAACAACCAAAATTTTTCGCAAATCAGTTTTTAATATACACACACCGCAATGGTCTAGGGATATTGGTTAAATATTGATTAAAACTGCACACTTCATTTTCAAACTATAAAAATGGTATCAAACTGGTCCTGTTAGTATACATTAGAGTTTTATTATATCTTATAAAACAATTTTAAAGAAAAACAGTAGATAGAAACTTGTAACTTAAACCATCCATTTTAACCAAAAAAATTACAATCGTTTTTGTAAGAAATACCAAAGAATGTGGCCTTTTTTGTTAGTATCGTTTGTGATAGAACTTAGTACACCTTAAGTAAGGATGCAAAGACAACATCTCTCACGTGATCAAATGGTACGAGCAGTTGGAATGCTCGAAAGTGGTTCCAGGCAAATTGATGTTGCGGAGGCTTTGCAAACAACCCAAAGTGTGATATCGCGATTATGGGCTCGTTATCGTGACTGGGGTGATGTTGCCGAAAGACATCCAGGGCCGCCAATAATAAAAAACCGGGTTCAAGATCGTTTCATTGTTCGAATGGGAAGGTGTACACCTACAATAACGGTTCCGAAAATAATGAATGAAGTCCAACAAACCCACAACATTCAAATAGGCAATAGTACCATCAGGAATAAATTACGCGAAGGTGGTTTAAGAAGTAGACGCCCCTTGAGATGTCAGCCTTTATCCAGAGGGAATCGCGCTGCACGTTAAGATTGGGTAAGAGAACGTGAAAATTGGCAAGAAGATCAGTGGGCCCCGATTCTTTTTACAGACGAATCACGCTATGGATTGTATCCGGATTCCAGAAGAGTAAGAGAGTGAAGGCAACCTGGCTAGGAGGCAGTTCTGGAAAATATTCAGGAGGTCCACAGTTATAGAGGTGGTAATGTGATGGTATGGGCGGGTATATGTTTGGGCGGAAGAACTGATCTCGTTTTGGTAGAACATTTTTTGAATGCTGAACGATATGTGGAAGAAATTCTTGAACCAGTTGTGCTACCCCACGCAAATATTGTTGGGACGAAATTTTTTTTTTTGATGCATGACAATGCTCGTCCACACGTTGCAAGAAACCTAAGACGCTGGTTAGACGAACATCAAATATCCGTTTTACCCTGGCCTGCTCAATCACCCGACCTCAATACAATTGAGCATGCATGGGATATGCTCCAGAGAAGACTTTTAGATGAAAATGCTCAATTCCAGAATCGTGAACAGCTTTTTGGAGCGTTAAGGGCGGTATGGAGACGTTTACCTCAAGAAGACTTGGACAATTTAATTCTGAGTATGCCGAGAAGAATTAGCGCCATTCCAAATGCAAGAGGAGGTCATACACTATACTAAAAATATTAAGAATAAAAATTGTATTGTTTGTTAATTTTATTTTTGAATTTAATTTTCTGTTATATTTTAATTATTTAGAATTAATTAATTACCAGTATGATTATTTCGATAAATGTTTAAATTTTTTATATAATTTAGTCAATTACTTGCTAATAAACAAATAGAAAATGAAAAGTGCCACCGATTTATATTTGGTTAACATTTTTTTATTGAAACAATAAATATCCTTAGACCATTGCGGTGTGTGTATTTTTCAAAAAGTTTAATATACTAGTCTTAATACTGCTAGCTTCTCCTGATGTTGGAGCAACGTGTCCAAGTACTTATCTCCTGGCTCAGCAACTAAAACAACGTGTTCCTTTTTAATAGTTTTTCTGTGATACCTTAAGCCAACTTTTTTCACAACTAGGGTTTTATCTTTTCTTCCATCAAAGTAAATTCCACCCATTTCATTATCTCTAAAGCAAGTATTTGTACGGCATTTCTTTCTTTCTCGTCTTATTTTGCTTCTATCAATTACTTTTGAATTATCTTGCCTAGAAATAGCACCAATATCTCGAAGAACAGAACTTACTATAATTGACGCCGACATGTCGAAAATACCTGTTCTGTTACAAGCTGCAGCTAAATGTGGTAGTTTTATTCTGGCTTGCGTTTTAGGACATAACTTTGATGTAAAAGTAGAAGCTTCTGAAGAAATTTAAAAATTCTCATCACTAGAATAAGTACTTACTTTATATTTACCATCATCTGAACTTTTTCTGTCTCCTACATCCTCAATAAAAGTAAGTTTTTTAGTCTCTTTATATTTCTTTACTTTTTCGGACTCCAAAATTCTTCTAGCGATTCTTTTCTTATTCTTTTTAGAGGCTTCTATATCAATATTTCCAATCGCCATTTTCCGTGCTGTTCTTTGGTCAACTAAAAATTCGCATTCTGATGGTGGTATTTTATTTATGCAACGGCAAAGAGAGAAATCTTCACATTTGCAAGACGAAATATCAAATAGCTTTCGGTTAGCAATTTTAAATAGATTTAGCTTTTTAAGATATTTCTTATTATATGCTGATTTCATGTATTTCTTACTTCTCGAACTTTTATCATGTGCAAAATCTGTTGATCTGAAACAACAGGCAATGCTCCTTTTTGCCATATACTTTTTATACTAAGTAACTAAGTACAATATTGTATCCTTATTATTCATTTCTGCTGTAGCTCTGTTGAAAGCACATTGTTTATTTCACACTGACTTTTACTACGAGTTTTAGGCATTTTCACAATAATTATTATGTAATTATTACAATAATAGTTTAGCGATTATAGAGAAGACACTTTTTTTTTATCTTTTACAAATGTCATATTTGAAATGTCACATTTGAAACATATAGGTTTTGTGATTTGAAATGAGTTTAACGGATTAAGCATAACCCCACCCAAATTTTTCGAGAGTCCACCTCCCACCTAATTTCTAGCACAATTTTTATGGACATGCAATTTTTGAGTATAGCTCCCTCCTTTTGATTGAAAAAGTTTATTCTGAAGCCATAATTTAGGTATGTTTATCAAGCATTAACTAACATAAGTTATCCTCTAGAGTTTGTTTCTTAATTCTTTTATATTCTTGTCACAAATTTTAAATGTCTTTTTTCCCTCTCGATGTCTTCGGCATCATTCCATTTATTTTTCAAAACATTTGCCTAAATGCCTAAAAAGATGTTATTGGTACCTGTAAAAGAATAGGTAAAAGAGCATTGCCTTTTAGAAACAGGTCAAGTATTCCTATAACCATAATATAATTATCATAATTATAATATAATTATTATAATTATAATATAATTAATTAATCTCTTACAAGAAAAAATACTTGAACAAAATTTTCACCAAATTCAACAAAATTTTGTTCTTTTCAGAGGCTTTAAGCCGTAATTTTCATTTCTTATACCTTTTCTAATGCAAATTTGTTGTGTTTTATATTGCCGCAGTTCTATTCAAAAAAGTTTTTGTCAATAATAAGGTTTAGTCAGTTATAAATGTATTTATGTGTATATTTAATAATGCATTTTAAAAATGTATCACTCTTATAATGTAATAAACACATATTTTAGTATATGTAAGATAACCTACAAATCTCCTGTCATTTAAAATTTGCTATGTTGTCAAATTGGTTCAAACTTAAATCAGTGGATATGCGTAAATCAGTTCATATAAATAAATCAACGTTTCTGCATACGTTTTTTTTTGTAATATATAATGATACGTTTTTTTTTTGTAATATATAGGGGTATATCTAATATATTAAGGTATTTATTTATAAATTTACCTTTTACAAGAAGAACATTTAAAGTATAAAGACCGAGCAAATAAAATTAACGTTCTTATTTTTTTTAAATGTGTAGATTTAATGGTGTGACAGACCCAAAAATTGTATTAAAAAATATTGAGGTCGACAGAGCTATAAGATGATCTTATTAAGATCGCTTAGAAACAAAAATCAAATCAGTTTTCCCTGAATGTAAATGGCTCCCACGAACGCGTTGTTTAATTTAGATCCTTGTATACGTATATCTCCACTTACCTTTGCTTTTGATCTGCAGTCACACCTTAATTTTTTGCTAGTCACCGCTTAGCTAGGATCAAACAATTAAACATATTTAAGATTGGGTTAAGCCAAAAGTCCGGCTAGAATACCTGCAATAAGGATAGAATGGGCAGTTTGACCTTTATGAGGCAATAGAGAAGGAGGGCCTTTTAATTATTTAAATACGGGTGAAACAAATATTTCGAGTAATTTGTAATATGTATGCATCCAAGGTGGTCTTTATCTTTAAGGAAAAAATAATTATCTTGTAATATTGTCTTGTCTTGTGTTGTGTTAACCTATTCGTAATAAAATATATTTTCTTAAGTTAAAATACTTACGCAATCGCATCAATCATATCTAAACCCATTTCCACAGCACAATGAGCATGATCAGGCCTGGCCTCTGGTAAACCAGAAACGCAATAATAGCAATCACCTAGAAGTTTTATTCTTAAACAGTGATGTTCAGCAGCCAATCTATCAAATCTAAAATTATATATGTTTATCATTCAGCAAATAAATATAAAAGAAACGAAGCTAAGCGGCAAATTAAAATTGAAGCGCAAGCAAGGGCTTTTAAATAATTATACACTTTGCACCTTAATCACAAACATGTTTTTGCTGCAAATGCGTTTTTTTACCTTGCATATAATTCATTTAATATTCTTACTAACTCTTCAGCTGTGCATTGATCTGAAAGAGTTGTAAATCCGCATATATCCGCGAAGAGAATGCTAAAAATATATAATATTTTAAGAAATATTTGGGTAAAAACTTTTTAACTTAAATATTACTCATAAATATTTTAAATATTACCTAACGTTTTCATGTCGCTGAATATATATTTTATGAAATTGTTCTTCTTTTGGTTGACCTGCTATATCTGCTTTCATTTCCATAGCAACATGTCGAGGTAACACTGATAATAATAATCTTTCCTAAAAAATTAAGCCTTTTAAACAAAGCGCTTGATAACATAAATTTTATCTATTTCTGTCTATAATATGAGTTGCAATCACGCTGCAATATGACGGACATAATAAGACTAGTGTGGTGGCGTTGCAACGCGTTAAGTATTAAAACCCAACTAATCACTCAACGGTAGTAATTTCAAATATAAAATTACCCTCGTACATTATAAATATGTCTACTGGGCTTCTCTAACAGACATAATAATAATTATTGAAATATTTTTAATTATTGGAAATTTCTCAAATTTTACTTATTTTTTATTTATTTTTTATAATTTAATATTTTTTAAAGCCATTTTGGTACCTGCTGTTGATTTTCTCGTTGTATTTTTAGCCTTGCTTCAATGCATTGCCTAGTTTCTAAAAAAGCTTTTCTTTGTGCCACCTCTCTAGGGTAATGTGTACATACTCCAGCTATGTTCACGCTCAGCAGGATTATAAAACAACTTCCTACCTGAAATGTAATCAATAAAATTGTGTACCATTAAAAGCAAGTTATGTAATTTTTTTATTCAAAATATATTCTATAGCAAACCACAGATCATAAAAATGTTGTAAATATTATTTACGGACCCTAAAAGCCAAGTGACTTTTTTAAATAAAAATTGAGTCAATTACATTAATTGATAGTAAAAGATATATTTTAGTTGGTAGCTAAGGGATATAACTGAATTATAAGCTTGCAAAGCTTGAAAAATAAATCGTAAAACAACAAACAATATTGATTCCAACGAAGCCGGATTAACGATCTGTAAGCCCCTAGGCTAAACATGTGGCTACTGGGATTTTTATTTTATTTATTTGTTTTACAATATGTTATAGCTAGAAAAACAGTTCCGTCCTTCATTTAACCTACAAAAACCGCATTTTTCACAATTTTCCAATTAAAAACTTAAAAATAAATATTTTCTTTTATTTTCTTTTTATTTAGAAATCAATTTTATAGCAGAAGTAGGAGGTATCTGATTGAATATGTTTATGAAATAATAGCACTTCTCTGCAAAATACATAAACAAAACAACATTTATTAACAACAATAATTTCATAAAATTGGAAAGAAGTCAAAATAAAAAATTATGAAACAACAATAAATAAATATAAAACAAGTTCCAGAAAACTAATTTCAATGAAAGTTACGTGACGGAGTCACTCCTTATAAGGATATCTTATGCATAGTTAACAACCTCATTTATTTTGTTAATTCAGTTGTCAGCATTTTTACCTTATTTAATTTATTATAATAATTTCCCAGTAATAATCCAATAAACTTATTAAAAATTAAATTATATAATATTCTAAAGCATAAGTTATCGTTAAGTAAAAATAAATTGTTTTTAAAAACTCTTTCGAGCACTAACGTAACGTAATTGGCGCAGTCACCAAGACAATTTGGCAAGAGATTGTTATCGTTCCTACGATTAATTGGTGATTGAACCAGGTGGAATTTCAGTGAGCAGACACAAGAAACCATCACCAAACCTGTCGCAAGTAAGAGAGGACATCACAGATGCAGACGGTACCAGCAACGATAATTTGCCTGTAAGTACTTATATCATTTAATGAATATAGATTGTTCTCTAACGACCCCAAATCAGACTTAAGTTCCGAAACAGATATCAGCGTCGATTTAGACGACACCATTATTAAAAATATTTTAAATCAAACCCCTGAAATTAATTTTTCCAATTTAAATATTTCCGAAACAAATACCCCTAACCCAAACATGGCTAACGTCCTTAAACCCGAATACTTTAAAATGATCCCAGAATTTTCAGGAGAATCCGAACTTCTACCACGTTTTATTACAATTTGTAAAAAATTAGTCACAAAATTCTATAATGCCCAAGACCCAACAGATTTTCAAAATGATTATTTAATGTCAAGTATTTTAGCAAAAGTAACAGGCGATGCCGCCATCAAAATTTCATCTTGTATAATGAGTAAAAACTGCTCTACATAATACATATAAGAGATGTTTTTAGTTTAGGTATCGAAATCATCGAACTGAAACAAGGATTTAGAGAATCAGTTTTCGATTTTTATAATAATTTTCTTACTTTACCTAATTTTCAAATTGCTTACTTAACTATCCATCTTGAAAATGTAAACGAAGCTGCAGTTTTAACAGTATATTTAAGAAAATACGCTCTGCGTGTTTTTTTAAGAGGTCTTCGCGAACCTATAGGTTCACTTATGCGTACGAAAAACCCTGCAGATTTAAATACTGGACTTAATATGCTAACTAACGATTTTCAGTTAGAAGTAAATAATAAAAATAGTAGAAATTATATTTCGAAACCTAAACCCAAATTTGACAACTATAAAGGAAATTTGCAATTGCACAAACATCACCAAAATTTTCCAAAACCATTATCTTTAACGAATTATTCCCCTAATTATCAACCAAAACCAAGAAATATGAACACCCACTCGAATAATACTAGTAACAATTTTAATAATAGAAATAACTTTAATAATAACAACAATTATCAGAATCAACCGGGTCCAAGTTATAGAAATAACGTTTTTAATTCAAATCCCAACGTAAAAGTGCCCAAACCAACCCCTATGAGTATCTCTACACGTAATACTAATATGTCACAGGGTAGGCAAAATTTTAAAACTAATAATTTTAATAATCAAAACAGATCTTCGCCAAATGTTCAAATAAAGGAACTGTTTAATTTGCATGGACGACGGCGTGGATTTTTTTAGGAAATTGAGCCTCGGAAGAATACAAATAATGACTTTGACAAATGATAAAAGTGAACTTTCTTATATAATCTTTCCAAAGTTAAATATGTTAAACCAGATATTCCAAATAGGTTATTTTAAAAATATATAAAATACAACCCTTTCCTTATATCAAGCGCACACAGTACCTCCTTGAAAAAGTACAGTACAGAGATACCTTGTGGAGCATTATTTAAAAATAATATAAATTTAAAATTTCTTTCATTTTCCATAAAGACTTTGATTGTTTATTAGGGTTAGACAATTTAAAGAAAATTAACGCGGTGATTGATCTATAAAACGACGTAGTAATCACACCGAATTGTAGAATTAAAATTCATTATTTAAAACTGTCTAGTGGGCATGTCAGCATAGTAGTCCCAGCTAGAACCTAACAAATAATATGAATTAATGTTAAAGACGAAAACGCCATTATACCCTCCATGAAATCTGGCGATTTAGAAATCCCAGGAAGTGTAGCTACCGTAAAAAAATTTACTACTTATTGTAGTGTTGTTAACCCTAAAAATAAAGACATTCCCGCTAAAATTAGTCCAATTCATGTTAAATTGTTTAATGAATTTTGGAAACAAAAAGCAACAAATTTTGATAACATAAACGTTTATTGTGGTGATACAACAATTAAGAAGCATCCGTGCAAAACCGGCTATATCCATTTTAATAAAATGTTGGCAAAATGGCAACGAAAACTCCCCGTTTTCTGGCCTTTACAGATAAAAAATGTAAATATTTTATTAAAATGGATATAGTCGGTTTTGCACAGATGCTCCTCAATTGATCTTTCAAAAATAAAAATTAACCACATGAACGATGAACATACTAAAAATAAACCCTTAAGTTTTTCAAGTAATAATAATAATAATAATACTTTATTGGTGTCATTACAAAAAAATATGTTTACACAGGTCAATAAAATCACAAATACATTCAACGATATATAACAATACAATTAAGGTATATAACAATACAATTAAGGTCACTCACTCATCCGAGAACCCCTCAAAATGCGATATCGAAATCTCACATCCCAGGAAATGATACCCCGGAACACATTCTGATCCAGCTCTGTTATTTTCTTAGGTATTTTATTATAGAAATTTGGTGCTAAGAAACTTACACTCTTTTGAGATTTGGTCCATCTAAATTGCGGAGTCCTAAGATCATTCTTGTTTCTGGTATTGTATATGTGGTTTATGTTATGGTTAAATTTATTAAAGTTTAGTTTTGTATATTTTAAGATTTCTTAAATGTATAAGCTTGGAAAAGTTAATATTTTATGTTCTATAAATTTTGTTTTACAATCATCTCTGTAGTTTAGGCCACATATTATCCTTATAGCTCTGCGTTGTAATTTAAAAATTCGTTGCCATTCCCCTGCCTGTCCCCATACAAGAATTGAGTATGATAGCCGAGAGTGACACAATGAGAAATAAACATTTTTAAGTATATCGAAGGATAAACAGTTTGATAGGCTTCTGAGCAGAAATATGTTTTTTGACAGTTTAACTGAGAGAGCATCAATATGTTTGTCAAATTTTAGTGTTTTGTCAATATAGACACCCAAAAATTTTGAAAAATCCTGAAGGCCATGATTGACATCATCACTGCTCCTCATAAGGGAGTAAAATTAAACACAAAATAATTGCTAAAGACGAAATTCCTGTTTATGCAAAATCTAATCGGTTTCCACAAATCTATAAACAGGAGGTGGAAAAACAAATTAAAAAGTTTTGGAACAAACAATTATAAGGCCTTCATATAGTCCGTGGAGTTCACCTATTTGGATTGTTCCAAAGAAAGCAGACTATCGAAAGTTGAATGAAAAAACTATCGATGATCGATACCCGTTACTGAACATAACGGATTTGCTTGATAAATTGGGGCGATGTATGTATTTATTTCAAATAGATATTCAGAAAACCGCTTTCAGCACAGAAAACGTTCACTACGAATTTCTTCGTATGCCATTCGGGCTCAAAAACGCCCCAGCCACATTCCAGAGAATTATGGATAACCTTCTTCGCGGTATTTTAAACAAAAATTATTGTGTATATCTTGATGATATAATATGTTTTAGCACAGGGTTACAGGAACCCATACTTAGCCTCAAAGAAATTTTAAATAGATTAAGTTCTGCGAACTTAAAATTACAAATCGATAAGTGTGAATTTTTCTAATCCTAAAAAAATTTGAGCTATTCAAAACTACCCCATACCAAAAACAACCAAACAAATTAAAGCATTTCTAGGTTTATCAGAATATTATAGAAAGTTTATTCAGGATTTTACTAAATTAACTAAACGGCCATTTCAAGCGGATGGACGGGACAAATCACAAAACTGTTTTTATAAAAAAATTGTAGCTAATTTATTATATATTATTTTTGCATCAAAATTGTCAAAAAAATTTTTCTATTATTAGGGTATACATTAAATAAAAAAAATCGCAAGAAATATTTTATAAAAGTAGAGATAATTTCAATAATTGACAGGGATGGACGGGACAAGATAAATCTTTTTTTTGTCCCGTCCACACCTTTCAATTATTAAAATTATATCTACTTTTATAAAATGTTTCTTGAGTTTTTTTTATTTAATGTATAACCTAATAAAAGAAGAATATTTTTGCCAATTTTTATGCCAAAATATTATGTAATAAATAATCTACAATTTTTTTTATAAAAACAGTTTTGTAATTCGT